CAGGGTTGTTACAAACTGTGTTTTAAAGGGGCTTTTGCTCCCAAGACCTTCCCTGGCTTAGTGCTTGTCCATTTACCTGGACTAGTACTTAGATCTTCTCCCTCCAGCAGCCATGCGCCTTCTCCTTGTTCAAACTTGCAGTTCACAAGAGGCTGGGAAATGGAAAGTCCTCTTCAAGGGGAATATACAGGCTTTTGAGATCATCCTATGTATAAATACCCACGCAGAACTTAGGACAGATAAAACTAGCCAGTTATGTTGTTCCTTTCATTCATCCAACAAATACACATGTATATTTTTTGGCACTGGCCAGTAAGAGGATGTGAACCCTTGACCTTGGTCCCTTGGTGTTATAACAGCACACTCTCATTGGCCAGCTCCATCAGATATTTATTGAGCACCCATTTGGTGTAGGCATTACGGGATATAGCAAGAAATAAGACAGACAGACATGGTGCCATTTTCTTAGTAAAGCCTTTCTGCAAGAAACTAAAGAAACAGTTTCAAGGAGGGGTTAAGCCAAGGAGCTAAGCTAAGCCCAAAAAGTACCCTACTTCAGAAGATGGGAACGTACTGAATTTGGAGTGTAGAGGATTCTTAAAGCAAATGTACTTCACAGGGCCTGGGTTTCCAAAGCCTTGCGGTTTCAAGTATTGACCTTGCGGAGGACTGGAAATTTTCCTCAGGCTATAAAGTCACTGGTGTAAGATAAAGATTTGTGGCACAACAAGATTGCTGCCTCAAGGACAGAGTAGTTACTGACTGAAATGTAAAGATACTGGAAAATTGCTGGATGGTGAAGGAATGTTTGCTAAGATGAAGCTTTTGTTGATAAGATCACTTAATTGCCTCACTGGAATGTCATCTGACTTGTTTCACTGAAAGTCACCAGCCTATATTGTTGAACTATAACCCCACCTATGTTCTCTTCCTGTAACTTCCTGATCTGGAAAATAAATGCAGGAAGAGAACCCCAACTTGGGGTTAATTTCCCAAGGAAGGGATGCCTGTCCCTTGAGGGATCCGGGAAAGTTAACCACTTCGCAGGTTCTCACTGTTCAGAAGAGAAGAGCTTTGATTAATCCTTTGTGGCTCTGTCACCCAGGGGAAGTGGGGTGACAAATCCGTGGGGGGCAAAGCAACAATGGAGGAACTAACCTGAGGGATGCCCCAGCCCTCCCGGGAAAGGAGAAAATGGAGAGTTGTAGCCTTGGGGGAAGCAAAGGGAAACTGCCTATTTGTTGACTAGCCATGCAGAGGCTTTCCATTGGGGGACAAGGAGTAAATGCTATCCCTCTGGTGCATCACAGCAATAAGAGATCTCTACACACTGGAAAGAAAGTGCCAGATTTTCAGAATTGAGCTGATTCTCAGCTTTTTGTTTTTTGGCGGCTCGCTTGTACAGTAAGGCGATCTGAACCTTTGACTTTGGTGTTATAACACCAACCTCTAACCAACTGGGTTAATTGGCTAACCCGTGATTCTCAATCTTAAAGGAACAGTTTCCTTACCCAGTAGGACCCGGTTCCTCCACCCATCCTGGGTCAAAGGTACAGTCACGCTGCTGAAGGGTGTGGATCCCTGAAACAACAAGCAAATTCCTTCTTGCCAGTGTTCTCATGATCTAGGGTGGAGGTGAAGGGGCCGGTAACACTAGCAGCCTTGGGGAAGCTGGAAATCAATCTGTGAAAGGATTCGCATCCCTGGGTAGTTCAAGAAAACCATTATATCAATAGCTTTCTATGTGCTTTATACTATAATGGATTCTGACAAATACATACACACACACACACACACACAAAAGAGACACACTGTTTCTTGTCTTTGCACGTTTATAATTGTGGTAGAATTTATGTGTACATAGTTAGAAAATGTGTGCGTGCATGAGAAGTAACTGGGCAAGATCCAGCAGGTGCTTGGAACATACAAGATCCAATACCAAAAAGAAAAATTAGAATGTGAGTTCATACAGTGCAGAATCAGGTGCAAATTATGAAAGAAACGTGAAAGCTGAATTTTTTTTTTTTTTAAAGATGTCCGGTAAGGGGATCTTAACCCTTGACTTGGTGTTGTCAGCACCACGCTCACCCAGCGAGCTAAC